GCCGTAAAGTGAGCTGACAGTAAGGGTTAAGACGGCTGCAGCCTCCCTGCTCCCCTCTCCACATGGGGTAGATGAGGGACTAGCATGCCTGTCATTCACAAGGGGGGTGCATTTATGTACACAGCACTGGGCTCCAGGCCTGCTGGAACTGCACTTCATGCTTTTCAACAGACAGCTCTCTTTCCTCTTCTGTCTCTCTCTCGCTTGCCCCTCTCTTTCGCTCTCTTACTCTGTCTCCCTCTCTCTCTCTTTCTTTCTCTCTCCTGTCTCTCTCCCTCTCGCTCCCTCTTTTGTTCCCCTCTCCTTTCTTCTTCCTCTATCTCTCTCTGCCTCACGCTTTATCGCTCACTCGCCTATCTTTCTCTCTCTCTCTCTCTCTCTCTCTCTCTCTCTCTCTCTCTCTCTCTCTCTCTCTCTCTCTCTCTCTCTCTCTCTCTCTCTCTCTCTCTCTCTCTCTCTCTCGTTTTCCCTCCCTCTCTCTCTGAGGCAAGGACACTCAGTGACTGTGCGGGAGTGAGAGGAGAGGTGGCATTAGGGTAGTATCTCCACTCCAATAACAATCACATCAAGTGGTGTGGTAAATGAGGTGGCCCATGGTTCAGTGTCTGTGGCTAATCACTACAGTCTGCTCATTAAAACACAGTGATAATGATTCAGCACACAGCCCTCCTTCTGCACTGGCAGCAGCAGATAGACAAAAAGCCTGCCCCCCCACACACAAATAAACGCGCGCACACATTCACATTCACACGTACACATAGCCTACACGTATTCACACAGCTTTTTGTGTGGATGGGATGCGAGTTAACCATCACTGGTCGGGATCATCACTACTACCACATATCTCTGTTACAGAGTTACTCTCTCTCTCTCTTTAACCTGAACATGTGCTCAGCTCTGCCGTCCATGACGATACTGAGATGAGATCCAAACTGCTAGGCCAGGCTTAATAACACACATACACTGATCCAAAACTGAGTGGATGGATGGTCTGAGGGCGACAGAGCATCTGTCTTACTGTACATCTCTATTCCTCTGGCATCGTACCTCAGACAGAGAAGTGTCTGACTCAATGTTCTTTGGGATGGAAACTGGCCTGTCATGAGGTGATCTATCAAAAGAAGCTATCTTGCTCTGTTATTACCTACTCTATCATCAGAAAGACACTGTAAATCCCTGGACAAATATATAAGCAGCCAGTGACATGTGATTTGTATTAGCCCTTAGACAGCTGGCCCAGGATCAGATTTGTTTCTCTTCTTTTAATGGTTAGTGTTAGGGCTGGGATTGGGAGAGCAGATCTGGAATCAGTTTTGAAGGACAGGATGAGTCAGTGTTGGCTTCAGCGAGGCCTGATCAGGTGCTGTAGGGCCATGTGACCAGCTGGTAAAGGGAATGTCTGGGCTGGTCCATCCATGATATCGGGGGTGGACTGCTTTTGTCTGCTGGATCTTGGCCTGTGGTTCTGGACCAGCTTTTGTTCCTGCTGTCCTTTGGCCTTGATCTCAGAACAATATGAGCTGCATCGCTAAACTCTCTGTGTGTGAGAGTTAGGCTATGAAACTCTTTAATGGGCCCACTGTGTGAATATTAGCCGTGGGTTGCCATTTTAAATCAATTTTAAATGTGGATATCAAACTTGCCAATGAAAAGTCACAATGGCTGAGTTTGAGATATGTCCTCCTGGAGGGTTATTGTTAGGTTGGGTGGTGGACTCAGGTGCAGAGACGGACACACGGACAAAGAGAGTAAAATTAGGATGTAGTTTATTCAACGTGTATTGGTAGAGAGATGTAGTCAGGGTAGAATAGCTTCAGGCTGGGGTAGGAGCTGAGTGGGGTGGAGAGCCAGTAGTCCTGAGAGCTGGATAACGAGGATATCAGGCAACAGAGGAGCAGGTAGCGGCGTGGGAATGGCAGGCAGGCAGGCAGGCAGGCAGCAGGAACAGACGAGATCTGGTCGAAGGAGAGACAGGTTACAAAACGTGGCAGGAACAACAATAATACTGAGAGAGTACAACTACACTGAGAGTGCTGTACGGGCCAAGTTACCACTGGAAGTGTAGGAACGAACTGGCGCTGGAGAGGTGTCCAGCCCGGGTAGATATCTGCTGCTTGATTGGTGCCAATGAGCTGCAGCTTGATGCACTTGATCTGATGATAGAAAGGCCACGCCCGCTGACCTAGAACCTCTGACTGCACAGCAGGGGGAGACATATATTATGTGAATGTGAAATACTGCCTCTTAAGGTGGTGTGTGTGGACGTGGATGTGGATGGATGTGTGGAGCTCTGGTTGTGGACTGATGGAGGAGGCTTTGACAGACACTCCGTGCTGAGGAGAGGGGGTAGGGTGGGGGGCGTGGGTGAAAGGTGGGTTATGGGGCTTAGAGGGGTGAGATTGAGGGGGGCAGGTGTTGTGACTTGGCACTGGCATGCCTGGCACTCTGAGGGCGCTCTATGTTTAGCCCTTACATGATTTTACATGTGCTGTTTTTTCTGGGCCTGCTGTTGTTTGTTGAGAGAACAGAATGGTTCCCCCTCAGTGGCGGCTGGACCACCCCCTCTTACACTCTAACAGGCATCTACCGACCCCTCTCTGGTTCTACGGTACCCATGTTACATCTGACATGAGCACATCCCTCTTTCCTTCCCTCTCCTATTCCCACTTTGCTCCTTCTTCCCCCTCTTCTCATCCCTCCTTCTTCCCCCTCTTCTCATCTCTCCTTCTTCCCCCTCTTCTCATCCCTCCTTCTTCCCCCTCTTCTCATCCTCCCTTGTCCCCCCTTCTCTTCTCATTCCTCCTTCTTCCCCCTCTTCTCATTCTCCTTCTTCCCCCTCTTCCATTCTTCTCCATTCTCCTTCTTATCCTCCCCCTCTTCTCATTCCTCCTTCCTCCTTCTTCCCTCCTCTTCCCTCTTCCCTCCCCTTCTTCCCCCTCTTCTCATCCCTCCTTTTCTCCCTCTTTTCACCTTGCTTCCCTTCCCTCTTTTCTTTTCTCCTCTCAAGCTCATCTCTCGTCTTTCTGACTTTTCCCAACCTTGAACACAACAAATATCCAACAGCATCATTTCGTTTTTTACCATCTTCCCACACAACACTATTACTCACCTTAGTCAATTTTACCCCACTTTGATATGGGTGAGACCTCACTAGTGGATGACTGGTGGTGTGTGTGAATGCTGTGGTGCCTTGTCATGGGTGGTTGATTGAGTCCAGACGTTGTGGTTTTTTCTCTCACCACTATACAGGGTTGGTTTGGCCCAGGGCAGGGCGGGTTGGAGTTCCCTTGGGTGCAGTAAAGTGATAGGGCGGCACGGGGGTTCAAATCGCCCCTGGAGTGACGGGTCAAATGTCAAAACTCCAGCCCGGTGAGGGAGATCAGGGTCATGTTAGTCAAACACGGTCATGTTAGTCAAACACGAACTGAGGTAGACCCTTCCTGTATAGTTCACGGCTGCTTATGCCATTACCTTGTGTCTGTGTATGTATGTATTCATTTGTGTGGGCACGCGCGTGAATGTTGTCTGTGTGTGAGTTTGTGTTTAATGAGGGGGCTGGGCCGCTCTGTTTGCTCTAAGCCTCATCGATCCACCATTTTAAACTTCCCCTTCCGTCCCTTAGCAGCCCCGCCACCTACACAGCAGCTCCTAAGATGGACGACCCTGGGGTCATCCCCGTCAACTGGCTCAGACATTGGCCAAATACAGAGGCCCTAGCTGAATAATGGTCTGTCAGTGACCTCTCACCCCTGGTCAGGCTCTTATGTGTCAGATTGATATCCTCCTGTCCTATGGGAGTGGAATGTCTGATAGTGATAGGGAGCATCTAGCCACCTAGACAGGCAATCTATTTGGGATCCAAGCTCACGTTCCATCATTGATGTTTCTGTTTTCTGTAGATCTAGGCGTCTGTTTCTATGATCTAGGGCTATGTGCTACACTTGCTAGTTCTGTCCAAGGTGCTGAGTGTGCCATATTTAGTAGGGTTATTTTAACAAGGCTTGGGGCTTCTCGAGTTATGTGGCTTCTGAGCTAGACGGAGAACACCCTGAGATCTGTGTGTGTGTGTGTGTGCGTGTGTGTGTGTGTGTGTGTGTGTGTGTTGTATCCTTGGGCTTGAGCACCCTGTGCATGTAAAAAGAGGTAGAGCACAGTTCTGCCATAAGTCAGTGTGATGGCAACCTGTGTGATGGTCTGCCTTGAGAGGGGTTTAAGGTATTGGCTGTCAGCCCCTGGGGTTAAGCACTGAGTGAGTGACGGAGCCCTGCTGTGTCTGTGTGTGTGTGTGTGTGTGTGTGTGTGTGTGTGTGTGTGTGTGTGTGTGTGTGTGTGTGTGTGTGTGTGTGTGTGTGTGTGTGCGTGCGTGCGTGCGTGCGTGCGTGCGTGCGTGCGTGCGTGCGTGCGTGCGTGCGTGCGTGCGTGCGTGCGTGCGTGCGTGCGTGCATGCGTGCGTGTGCTGCGTGAGTGCGTGTTGTGTGTGTGTGTTGAGTGACACTCACTCCATGCTGCCTATTTGACCCTTTGACCACCAGACTAGCATCACCTTTCATTAACCTGTCCTGTACTGTGACTTATCTTCTTATGTCATTCATGGAAAACAGCTGAGAATTACTGTGAACTTCTCTTTCTCTCTTTGTTTCTCCCCTTAGCACTCTGGTTCTCACTCGTCTATATTCTGTCTATATTCTCTCTCTGCTGCTCTCATTGTAATATTCCTGCCATGTAGGACCTACCTCCCACGAACAGCAATGGGTTTACAATCTAAAACTCTTGCCCTTGTCTGACAAGCTCAGACAAAACCTTTTGTTCCCAGGGAAATTTACCAAAAAAAAAAGAGAAAAGATTAGTATTTTATAGTTTCTCTTTTCTTATCTTTTTTTGCTGTCAACACCCAGTCTGACTCTGAAACCTGGCAGACAGCTCTCTCTGTGTGTGTGTGTGTGTGTGTGTGTGCATTTGTCTGCACAGATGTGTGTGATCACTAATCAGTGGAGGTAATGATGTCTGAACCATGGCTGATGGTGCTGGTGGTGTTAGTGGCACAGGTTCCCAGTGCTATGAATGATGGGCCGGGTGGATGGGGGTCAGGTCCTCCTGCCCCGAGGGAGACGGGGAAACACCAGGCAGAGGGAAAGATAGACTCCATATGGTGACATCAGCGCCCAGGGTCAAATGACCAGATGTATTAGCCTCTACCCTGTGGGGCCACAGTGGTGAAATTACCTACCTAAAGAGCTCCCCCTAGAGGTCAAGGAAATGAACTCTGGGGGGGGGGGGGGGGGGGGGGGACACAGCAAATGTCAGGAGAATAGATACCAAGGGAATATTTTACAACCCAAGCACAGAGACTGCTTTTAGCTATGATTGTTGACTCATAGGTTTTCAATGGAAAACAATGTCAGACTTTCAACTCCCTCCAAAGATTTTCTATGGGGTTGAGATCTGGAGACTGGCTAGGCCACTCCAGGACCTTGAAATGCTTCTTACGAAGCCACTCCTTCGTTGCCCGGGCGGTGTGTTTGGGATCATTGTCATGCTGAAAGACCCAGCCATGTTTCATCTTCAATGCCCTTGATGATGGAAGGAGGTTTTCACTCAAAACCTCACGATACATGGCCCCATTCATTCTTTCCTTTACACGGATCAGTCGTCCTGGTCCCTTTGCAGAAAAACAGCCCCAAAGCATGATGTTTCCACCCCCATGCTTCACAGTAGGTATGGTGTTCTTTGGATGCAACTAAGCAGTCTTTGTCCTCCAAACACGACGAGTTGAGTTTTTACCAAAAAGTTATATTTTGGTTTCATCTGACCATATGACATTCTCCAAATCCTCTTCTGGATCATCCAAATGCACTCTAGCAAACTTCAGACGGGCCTGGACATGTACTGGCTTAAGCAGGGGGACACGTCTGATACTGCAGGATTTGAGTCCCTGGTGGCGTAGTGTGTTACTGATGGTAGGCTTTGTTACTTTGGTCCCAGCTCTCTGCAGGTCATTCACTAGGTCCCCCCGTGTGGTTCTGGGATTTTTGCTCACCGTTCTTGTGATCATTTTGACCCCACGGGGTGAGATCTTGCGTGGAGCCCCAGATCGAGGGAGATTATCAGTGGTCTTGTATGTCTTCCATTTCCTAATAATTGCTCCCACAGTTGTTTTCTTCAAACCAAGCTGCTTACCTATTGCAGATTCAGTCTTCCCAGCCTGGTGCAGGTCTACAATTTTGTTTCTGGTGTCCTTTGACAGCTCTTTGGTCTTGGCCATAGTGGAGTTTGGAGTGTGACTGTTTGAGGTTGTGGACAGGTGTCTTTTATACTGAAAACAAGTTCAAACAGGTGCCATTAATACAGGTAACGAGTGGAGGACAGAGGAGCCTCTTAAAGAAGAAGTTACAGGTCTGTGAGATTATGTGAGAGAGTGCAGTTGAACCTTGTAATGTTTGCTCCGATGACCATTTAGTTCGTATTTAGTCATTTGTTATAGTCCCATTGTGTGGCTCGGGACAGGTCAGCAGTTTCATGTGGTCTGGGCAGGGAAAGTGTCTCCTTTTTTCTCCCATTGTTATAAAACCATTGGAATCTGACCTTGCTCTGACCCCACTGTAATCATGTGTTATAGAAAACACCAGGAAGGCTTTCTGCCTCTCTCCCTCCTCCCCTCCTCCTCTCCTCCTCTGAACCAGGGTGCAAACCATTCATTACCCGTGTTTGGTCACCAGAGAGAAAGAGAGGGGGAGAAAGAGGAGCAAAGATAGGATGAGAGGAGTAAAAAGAAAGATTATCGTAATGGAAGTGCTTTGTTAAGAGTGCTTGGCCCTGAATCATACATGAGCCTGTCTAAGTGGCTGTGAGTAATTCAGCCAATCAAGCGTCATTAATCCCAAAGACGAATAGAGGTAGGATTTGGGTGTCTTCATTTTTAAACTTTATTGGCTCATCGCGTCACATGAACAAATGAACACAAGAACAACTGAATTAACAAATGAAGGTGTTGATTTCTTAATGATGCTGTCATCAGTTTTACAGCTAGATTATGTTAATTATCTTGTCGTCAGTTTTAAAGCTAGAGTTATTTATTTCCTTGTCTGCCACATTTATGTTCATTGTAAGAGACTTTGAACGTATCCTCATTCGTCATTGTTTTTGTGCAAACTCACAAAAGAACTCTGAGAAAACGCTGATTTCCCAGTTGAGCTCCGTCTGTGAGTTGTCAAGCATTACTCTAGCCTGAAGACATTCACAAAAATATTGAAAACTCACACTTGAGGTGCTAATGAGCTTCAGACTGAGACATATGTCTAGGCATTATGGTTCAAGATTATGGCTCAATGTGGATCGATATGAGGTACTATCACTCTCAGTGTATCTGTGGTGAACATACTCTCTAGGAGGGCCAGAGTAATCCTCTCTGCTGTCCCTGTTAGCTCATCTGACATAAATCCTCCGCTCGTCATGTTCAGAAAGGTGACCACTCCTCACCTCTCGGTCAGACGAAAATCTGGCTATCCCAGAGTGCCGCTGGCTGAGGAAGTGATACTTACTGGTGGCTCCTGGGGTTTGGTCGCCCTCTGTCAGTTATGGTATAATAATAATATAATATGCCATTTAGCAGATGCTTTTATCCAAAGCGACTTACAGTCATGTGTGCATACATTTTTACGTATGGGTGGTCCCGGGGATCGAACCCACTACCCTGGCATTACAAGCGCCATGCCCTACCAATTGAGCTACAGAAACTGAAACTGTGGCTGATGGAAGCCCTGCTGTGTCTGCCTGGAGCCACAGCACTCAGCTGGAGCATGAGAAAAGTGGGCCTTTGAGAGAGAAAACAAGGCTTCAGTTTCATGTTTGACCAGGCTATAACTAGGGAGAAAAATATGAGAATATAGCTGACGAATCACACAGGTTGACACACTCTCACACACAATATAGGACACACATGGAATGCACACACACAGACACACAGACACACACACAGCCACACACCCACACACACTCCTCTGTGGCCCTCCAAACCCAGTAGTACAGTCACTAATCCTGCAGCACATTTGCAATCCGTATAATGACAACCTGATACCCCCAGCAGGACCCAGCCAACACACACCACCCTTTATACGCCTCTTAAAGCCTGGAAATGTACGTGTCAGTGGGAACAGCTGCACTGCCGTCCAACGCAGGCTCCTCTCTCACCTGACCCTGAATCAGTTCTGAGTGCTCCTCTACCCCTGGAAAGGTTGTTAGGTGGGTGTAACATCTGCTTCTTGGCCTGTGAGTCTCAGTCCTTACTTGAGAAACCTCCCACAGAGCCAGAGTGAGTTCACCCGTATCGGATCATCAGTGCTCAGCATGCACAGACACGGTCCCCTGCCTGTTCCCCCGGCCCCAGTGTGTCAATGAACAGAGGTGGAGTATTGAAGACATCCGCAGTATGTCAGTGATACTGAGCCCGGGCCATTAGCGACTCTGAGACGCGCTGGCCAACCTAACCTAATCTGTCTCCACTAAAAGCATCAGAAATGCAACCGTGTATGGTGCTTTTGGGAATGTGTGTTTCCCATCACTCCCCAGGAATGAATACCAGGCATACCTGGCAATCTGAAGTGTCTCTGTCTTTCAGAACACATCTAGTTGCATTTTCTCTAGTGTAGGACTCTAGTTCACATACTTTTAGTGTGTCTTATGTTATTCCCCTTTTTGAAGTGATCACTGACCTGACATGATACAGCAGGTGAGCGTTACACAATGAAGCCCTTGCGAATACCTATCCAATAGTATTAGATCAGTGATGACATCAACACCGGTAGAATCATGGAAATGCATGTTTGTATCAATACTATTAGACCTCCTGAAGAATATTACTCCATAACCTTTCTGCTTTCCTTCCAGGTTCTACCGGGGTGACTACCACATCGACGTGTGTATAAACGACTACCTGGATGTTTTCTGTCCCCACTACCTGGTCTCTGTCCCCGAGGAGCGGACAGAGCACTACGTCCTCTACATGGTCAACTATGACGGCTACAGCTCCTGTGACCACACTGCCAAGGGCTTCAAACGCTGGGAGTGTAACAGGCCCCACTCCCCCAACGGACCCTTGAAGTTCTCAGAGAAGTTCCAGCTCTTCACCCCCTTCTCTCTGGGTTTTGAGTTCCGCCCCGGCAGAGAGTACTACTACATCTGTGAGTAATAGTAATCTTTATGGTAATTTAGCACATGCTTATATTCAAATAAACGTAATGTTAACAAAAGCATTCAGTATAAAGTATGGCCCATGCGGGAATCAAACCCACAACTCTGCTGGTGCAAGCACCATGCTGCAACACATTGCGTTATCAGGGCCATGTATGCATGAATACCACTCATTTACATATCATACAAAAACACTGTTGGTACCACAGTACAATGAAATGTGATACAGGAATGCTTTGCTTAAAGGCAGAGAGAGTGCTACCCCAGTTTTCCTGCATGGCATGGACATTTATGATATCAGTGAAGAGTTATTATGTTGTGAGCTCAGGCTACTAGGGCAAAATGCAACATACTTAGATGATTCAAGGGTATGATGTGAGTCCAAGCATGGAACTGACTGCGGCGGGAAAAACAATAGCAAAGTAGAACTTTGTTTTGCAAGTCCTGGCAAAGAGGTTCCAAACCAAACATTTGCCTGAGGGAAAACATCTCCATTCTTGTGGTCTCAGTCTGAAGAGTCTTTGTTACAAACTCACCAGGCTCAACTTTCTACTGCTCGTGAGAAGGCCTCTGGAACACAAGCATCTGAAGCTCTGTTTTTACAAGTGGAGTCGGAGCCCTACAGGGCAGAGATCTGAGACTAAAGAAGAGACAGCACCGGGCGGCCTGCTAGGCTACAGTATGTCTGATTCCCCTTACAGAGATGGCTTCAGTTAGTCCTACTCCACAGTAGCCTCGGCCTCAGCCGCACGCCTCACACCGACGTCGTGTGATTTAGGAGAAAGCTTCCTGACGAATCGGCAGTCCTTAAAGGTCACATGATATGCTGACCTGCCCAATCTCCTAGGATGTTATTCTACTGGATTGGATGGATTGGATAAAGGATGGTGTGGGGCAGGTAATGGACTTCAGGCTCTCAGGCTCTGTTTAATGTGCAAATAGGAGAGCCAAGATGGAGTCAAAACAGCCATAAGTATATATTGCCACACTGGCTTTTACAGTGAAATTGGGGTAGAGAGAAAGAGAAAAAGAGACAGGCCACATGGCCTAAAGGCCTTTCCCTCCTTGTGGTTGTTTTTCACCCAGAACACGTCACCAGTGAGGAGGATAAATCTAACGAAGAGGCGGATACGTAATCACACCCCGGGGAACATACCGAGGTGTACACTAACCTGCTCCAACATCCTCTCAACTCTTGTCCCTCTATGTAGTTCCAGAAAAGCTGGATATCTCACAGTAAACCATGTGATATCAGTTTCAGTATCACATTGCATGTGTCTGATCTGTCAAGTATAACTAAAGAGTTACATTGTTAGATGATACTAGCACATGTTGTAACACTACTGGACAATAGAGCTGTGAACTTACAGCAAGTAAGTCAAATGTTTGGGGGTTGACATGTGCTGGTGTCAACGACTCAGTGCAGAGGACAGACAGACACCCCTTTGTCCCCCCCTGTGGACAGTTAACCCCCCAGGCGACGAGAGGAGAGGAATGGGTGCGCTGGGACATGGGGTGGGTTAAATCAAATGGATGACACCTGCGGTTGGCCCTGGGTCTGTCCGTCCGTCTGGCAGACAGATGCCTGCAGGAAGCCATCAGGGGGATCAGAGGGGGCGGCCTGGGGGGGTCAAAGTTCAGCATGTCCTGATGGCTGGATGTGAACCCGGGCTTCTCCCAGGCTAAGGCTGCATGTTTTTCTAAAAGAGCCTATAGGGAAGTGTGATCCAAATCTCAGGGGATAGAAATCCAATTTTCTGGGGAGACAGTTGAGAGTCTGTCTCTCCCTGTGTGACTGGGGCTGACTGTCTGCTGTAAAGCTTCAAAAGCCCAGGTCCTGCTCCGTACACAGTCTGAAGATCTACATAGATAATGAGATGAACCCTGTTCAATAGTGTGTTTGTTCCACTGGGTTTTGCTTTGTTCTGACAGATAAAAACTGATCACAAGGGAATCATCTGATTCCATCGTATTCATATCAGATCTCCAGTTCATCTCGGGTCTATACCCAGAGTTAAGTTACACGGCATCTGAGCACCTAGCTTGTGTCTGGTCATGTGTGTGTCTGGTGGTGTGTGTTTGTTCGGGAGTGTCTGCATGTGTATAGTGTGCGTGCATGTGTGAGACGTTTATGGGACGGTGTGTGTTCATGAGAGGACGTTTTCTGGGTTCGTACTTTATGTTTATACTCTATGAGTGTCTGCATGAGGTTTACTGCCTTCCAGTCTGTCTACTCTGCCCTGCTAGTCTCCTCCACTGGGATGCATGGCATGACTAACCAGGGATCCAGTGTCGCAGTGCGTGAGACATGGTCGTAGAAAACCAGCTCACGGCTGTGTGGTGTATTGTGGAGCCCAGGCTCTGTCTGTCTGTCTGACTGACTGGGAATAGAAAGGGAGCTAGTGCAGTCTGGTCTGAGTGCCTGCCACTGTAGGGGTGTGAGGTAAGTTACACGATACTCGCTGACACAGACAGAAGAGCCATGATTGACACCACACTGCCAATATAACTCTCTTCATCAAGTTCTAAAGGCAATTTTTATCATGTTTCATAGCCATGCTAAGTGTTTTAAAATGGGAACCCCAGTCTACAGTCTCTCTCTCTCTCTCTCTCTCTCTCTCTCTCTCTCTCTCTCTCTCTCTCTCTCTCTCTCTCTCTATCTCTCTATCTCAAACACACACACACACAGAGAGCATGATAGTGCCCTGAGGGGTGGGTGGGGGTTTATGTCTAGATTAAGAGCAGCTTGAGACCCCAGGCAGGCCAGGAAATGACGGGGTCAGAACATAGTACTCTCTGGGAAGGGGGGGGGGGGGGGGGGGGGGGAGAAGAGAGGCATTCTATAGAGGGGATGAATACAAGCACGGGTCAGGGTCTGTCAAACTAGCAACAAGAACAAGATCTCAGTCACAACCTACTTTCAGTATAGAAGTGTGATAGGGCTTCAGAACTATTGCTTCTCAAGACATCACACAATATAAAACACCTGCAGTCTAGTTTGTCACTTTGGTGACTATGTCCTAGGTGACATTGTCTTGTTGTTGACAGGTCAGAAGATGGAGCGGCCTGAATTGAAGTGACTTGCCACCATAGGGATTTTGTGAAGCAGCTGTCATATTCCAGTTAGCCAGGGTAGACGTCTGTGTAGCAGGGTTGTGCTACTTTACTGCTAATAGAACCCAGTGGCAGGTGTTGACAGCCTCTGCAGCCAATCAAATCATTCATAGCAGATGGTGATGTTACTCTGAGCCAATCAAATTCTGTGTTGCAGATGTGGACAAAATTTGGAGCCAATAGAAGTTTGAGTAGCAGGTGCAGACAGTTATTTGAGCCAATGGAAGTTTGAGTAGCAGATGCGAATGTTTCTCGAGAGCCAATCAAAATTGAAGGGGGCAGGTGTTTGTGTTATTTAAAGCTAATGGAAGTCTAAGTCGCAGATGTTGCCCTCACTCAATAGCCAATAGGAAGATGTGTTTCAGGTGTTGATTGACATTGCTAATTCGTACATGTGGGCTACAGTATGCTAAATTTATCACAAGTTGTATCCTTTGAGATCCTATAAATAAATTGAATTTTCACCTTGTTTGGGGTGTGATAGCGCTCTGTTTGACGTGTGTCTGTACAGAATAGCTCTCAGTTCTTTGCTGTTAGCATTGAAGTATGTAAGCATTGTTCCTAACATATCTGAAATATTTTCACAGCTTCCACCATTGCTGACAATGGAAGGAGAAGTTGCCTACGACTGAAGGTGTTCGTCAGACCAGCAAGTAAATGTATTTCTGAAAGAACATGCGATTCTCTATTCTTTCAATCTGTGGACTTTTATTGCATTATGTGAAAGTTTTAAATCAATCTTGGGCTCGCTGTGAATGTTCACGTCCCACTCTCTCCTTTTGTTGCAGACAATTGTGTGAAAACTGTCAGTGTTCACGATCGGGTCTTTGACGTCAATGAGAAAGTGGACAATTCCCTAGAACCAAGAGGTTTGTATGACTCTATAAAGTGTGTGTGTGTGTGTGTGTGTGTGTGAGTGTGTCTTTGGGTATGTGCCTGCCTGCCTGCGCTTGTGTGTGTACCCAGGTATGAAAAATTATATTTCCTGATACAGAATTCCGAAGGGGCTCTTATTCTCCCATTCTACCAACGGAATGGACAAAGCCACTACTCCATTTCACACGTTCATGTTTCAGTCGTTGCGCGTGAATGATGTCTCTTCTCCAGTGATTCTTATCTCCTTCTCCTCTTTCCTCTCCCCTCCATCTAGATGACACCAGCCACGAGTCAGCCGAGCCATCCCGAGGTGACGTCAACTCCGTTGGCCGGGTTCAGACCGCCGGCCTGCTGGTGACCTCCTCCCTGCTTTTCTTGGCGGCCATCTTGTCTTCATAGCGCCCAGCCTGAAGGTTTTAGACAGAGCGGAGTGGACCGCCCTGACTGGACCACAGGCCCCCCACAACCCCCAAGGAGCACTTTTTAACAGACAGTCTCTCTCAGTGCAAGGGAGAGGAGAGACTTTTAAGTGGAAGTCCTTTTTATAAACGTTGCTTTGGGGAGTTAAGATGCCAAAAGCCTTTTTGACTCTCATTTTGTCATTTTACTTTCCTGTGAATTTTGATATTTGAAGGCCATGGTATGCCATTGAATTTGCCCTCCACCCCCTCTCACACACTAACACATACACACACATGCTCTCTCTCTCTCCCTCCTCTGTAGCCACACCAAACATTTTGCAAGATTAAACAACGGAACAAAAACATTTTCCAAACCCCCAAATGACTTTGATTGAGAATATGATGAAGTCTTACAGCAAATTACAATTGATAATTTGAAGAAGGCTTGTGACTGATCAGATCAGCCAATGGCAATGAGGCCAAGGCATACTGGCAAATCAAATGAGGACAAGGCATGCTGGCCAATCAACGGTGAAACAAGGATCCAAAGCCATGGTTGTTGCTCGGTGAAATCCTGTTGTCAAGCGGAGGGGGCTCAGTTATTTCCTTGCCTTTGAAGAGTCCATTAGAAGTTCCTCTCAGGTGATGGGGGTTGGATTCAATGACTCAGAAACTGGGGGAGGGCGTTTGAGATTAACCGGAAAAATGTTTAGTACTTTGTGTCCTTGTAGGGGAATTAGTGATCGATTAATGTATTTTTGAAATGAATCAGATAATTCAAGTTTAGCAGCCAACATGGGTGTATATTTGCGAGGAGCGTGGGAGTTGATATGGTATTTTATCAGGCAAATGTATTTTCCTATTTATTGTTGAGTCCATGTGCTCTTTCCCTTTTCTGATGCCTGTCCTGGTTCAGTCACTGTAACTACAGCAGAGAGAAGCCCAAAACATCCCACCACTAAAAAGCATCAGTCTCTCTTTTTGTTTAGGACAGATATACTAATATTTCATTACTCATACACATTAAATATCTGGGCTTGGACTCAAAATATAATATAATTGGATTGTTTTTATCAAGCAGAGTTCAGGGAAGAGGACAGAAAGTCGGATGTTGTATCAGGGTGTAGGAATGTGAGTTATAACTGCGATCTTCTCTGTAACAGTAAACACTAACTATATGCTAACAACTCAGCCCATATTACGATCCACTACTTCTTTTGCAAACATTGTCATAACCTTTACCAAACTACAATTATGTACATAAACACAAAGTACAGGGATGACAGCATTCTGTAACTAATACGATTCGTTTCAATTATGTTTTTAGTAATATTCTTGGGTTCTTCCCCAAGCAAACAGCACACACTTTCATTGATATTGATAGGTTAGCGACCATGCAGTGATGATCAACCCACACGTCCCCACAGTTCTCCTAAGGTTGTGGTAACGTTGTGGACATAAGGTTCCTCTATAGCAGCTGCAGCTCTGGTATGATTTAGCCGTGTCTTTGATGTTGTGTAGAGCGGCGCCCATGCAGACCACATGCTGGGGGGCCATGCGCTGGTTATTTCTGGAATGAAAAAAAAATGACCACCAGGAGAGAGAGAGAGAGAGAGAAGAGAGAGAGAGAGAGAGAGAGAGGGAGAGAGAGAGAAGAGGAGAGAGAGAGAGAGAGAGAGAGAGAGAGAGAGAGAGAGAGAGAGAGAGAGAGAGAGAGAGAGAGAAGAGAGAGAGAGAGAGAGAGGGGTGTCCTGTTCAGCCCAGAGGTAACTTTACCACCAGAGGACCGGCGTGAGTGATGAGGTGAGAGAGAGGCCCAGCTGAGATCAATAGAAATTGGCTTCTCAAACACAGCAACACAAGGTAAATATTTCCCTCAGTCCCTTCACTCTCTTATACACAGTCTATTTAGTGTACTGACACTCACTCACCTCCTTTGTAAAGGTCGAATGGACTATCAGTGAGAAATACATTTAGCCTCTGCAGGCTGTCATTGTGGGATTCAGTTTGACCAAATCTGTAGATACGAAAAGTAAAAATTCATTGTCACTGACATTCACTTCAGTCAACATTGGGAAATAAGGATCAGCTTGTCTCATGGATACTGTGTATCCAGCCGGAGTCTAATATAAAGTACAGTGTTAGAGCAGTGGTTCTCACACTTTTTTGAAGGACAACCAGAGTTAAGGGAGACATTGGTGTTATTGAGAAAAAAGGAAATGTTTGATATAAAAAAAACTGTTGATTTAATTTTTAAATGTCTTTTTGTATGAGAAACATGATCAATGTTACAGTCTGTATCTGTAAATTCTAAATCCACGTGCAGTTAGCATTTTGTGTAAGCTTCTCAAACATGAACTCTGCAGTATGTGTGTGTGTATGTGGAGGTTGAATTGCCCAAGTTAAGGGCTCTGCTATTGGAAGTGCACTATATCCATCCATGCCCATCCCAAGAACCAGACCACGCTCCTATCGCCCTCCTCTTTTGACCAGACCTTTACTTAGTAGTATTTTCATCTTGAATGTGGTTTAGGTGCCCAATGTTTCGAGTTCTTGTACATGCTTAGTTTGTCTGTGGTCTCTCCTAATCTTCACTCCAATGGTTTCAGAGGAAGCTTCAGTAGTCAGTAGCACCATGTTGTTGTATCTGAATTCAGGAGATGGAATGTCAATTTTTTTGTAACGCTTGTTGAGTGCTGATTTTCTGTGCATTTCACAATGTCCGAATCAGTTAACTGTAATTTTATATTCAAACGTTGATGTACAGTATTAGATGCAGTTTTGTTACAGGGTGAACAGTGAGTCTGATAGGAGGAGCTCTTCACCTGAATTTGGTACCTGTTACTGTAGCCATTTAGCCTGAACCCGATGTCACTGTGCCCTCCTATGTACCCTGTCCTCTGTATCTGTCTCTGTCCCCTGGCCTCTGTCCCTGTCTTCTGTCCTCTGGCCTCTGTCCCTGTCTTCTGTCCTCTGGCCTCTGTCCCTGTCTTCTGTCCCCCGGCCTCTTTGTCTCTGGCCTCTGTCCCTGTCTTCTGTCCCCTGGCCTCTTGTCTCTGGCCTCTGTCCATGTCCTCTGTTCCCTGTCCTCTGCCCCCTGTCTCTTGGCCTCTGTCCCTGTCCATGTACTCTGTCCCTGGCTTCTGTCCTTGTCCTCTTGTCCCAGCCCTATTGTCCTCACTTCCCCAGACTGTTGTAACTCCTTTCTTGCTTCCTGGTCCTTATCGCTTCACCAGAATTTTCTGCAAATGTATTTCATACGAAGGCCATTATTTGTAAATACACATGTTGGAGCAGCTATGACTAACAAAAAAAAAAAAGATTTAATAAAAGTTATTTGTCATTGTCTCTCAATTTTGTAATGTCTTTTCATTTTTATGTAAATTGAATCACAGCTGCTTTGTCTAATGGATGGAAAATTAAATAGAGCCAAGCTTTTGTTCATTGCTCTTTGACAAAAATTGAAGAGAACTGTCAATAAGCAGTACGTGTTAGGCATCCAAAGTTGTTTAATTACACGCCCTACTACTGAACAGCTGTCATTCTATTATCTGAAGTTGAGTCACAACTTCAAACAATCATACTTGAACCTGCAATGTGTTGAGTGATTTCTTAGGATCTCTGCCAAAAACTACTAGGCTTCTCTCTCATGATCCTTGTTTTCTCTGTGTGTCTATCCCTCTCTCTCTCTCTCTCTCCTCTCTCTCTACTCTCTCTCTCTCTCTCTCTCTCTCTCTCTCTCTCTCTCTCTCTCTCTCTCTCTCTCTCTCTCTCTCTCTCTCTCTCTCTCTCTCTCTCTCTCTCTCTCTCTCTCTCCCCCCCTCTCTTTCTAATGAGAGCAGACAGTGATTTTGACACTGAAGCCCTTTGCCAAACAGCAGTGTTGTTCATATGCTGATATATCTGCCAATTACAATGTAAGCGAGAGCTTTAGAGGCCTTATCAGACATTTAGGTTACAATCTCACAGAGACTCTGGGAACCAAACACAACTAAAGGTCAAGAACAGAGTTCTCAACCAAGAGAGAATCATTATAACGATCATGTGTTTTATCTTCAACAACAAGACAGAATTGGTGGAGAAAAAGCGCTGGTCTCATTCAAGGCAGATGATCTGTGAATCTGCTTGCATTCTTTGACCTTCCTTCCTCTCCTTATCCAGTGACACCTAAACCCACCGCCACTCTACATCACAGTCCTGAGGGGGCCACACACACTGCTATTCTCAGCCAGCACTATGGTCTGGTATGCTAACTGAAAGACAGACAGATTATCATTGACTTTTAGTAAACCATGAATGAGGGTTATCCTCTCTCAGGAATGTGTGTACAGTGCGTACAGTAACCCGGACTCGGAATACCCCAGTATTGTGTCGCGGGGGGTTTACCTTGAAAGAGAATCAGGTGAAGTACCTTCCATATCCATACTGCCTTATGTTGAGAGGATTAAACTGGTTAAATCCACAGTCTTGTTCTCTTTAATGGGATTACGCAGAGAGATTTATGTCTGACTGTTCTGTGGATCAACTTTTGACAATGAAGAACCAGTGATTAATACGAGGGATATGTTTCCACCCCTGGGAGTGTGTGGTACATGCTTCATTTGACATGATCTGTGTTAGATTGGATTACTATGAATGTGTTATTAAATATGAACCACCTCAAAGACAGACAGGGAGAGATAAATAGAGGGGGGGGGGGGGGGGGTTAAAAAGATGAGAGGAGGTATAGCTGGATCATCATCCTTTGAAATGTAAGCCTAGAAGCTGTTTTCTGTCTGTTTCTTCATCTGTGATGAGTCTCACCCAGCAGATGCCTTAGCGGAAAACCTGCCACCTTGAGAAATGTCAACAACAGGAAGCGTACGGTGTGTTTAGTCTGGCAGATAACCATGGGACACCATGACATTATAGCCTTGTTGGGTCTACAGACCCAGAAATGGAAGGTCAGCTGCTGAAGACTAGAGATCTGCATCCAGCATAGATGAAGGAGATAATTATGGAAAGTAGTCAATAAGCATTCATATAGGAGCATGTTCTCAATGGTTAGGAGCTGGATGTTCTGACTGAAGTATGTCGCCTGAGGGATCCACACACAGATACACTGTATCCTGAGGGCAAAATGGGATTTGATGATCAAATTCAAACTTTGTTTGTGAAACATAATTAACGGAGTGGTATGATTTACATTTGTCTTCTAATTCCTCATCCTGTTTTTCTCCCTCATATCACTGTCACACCTCACGCGGCGACTTAATTTGATCTCCCCGGGGAAGCTTTTAATATCTACTTTAATTCAAACTTTATTTCTGTCCTCTTCATTTGGCTGATGGTTTGAGCAGATGGGATTCTCACTCTGACTGACACAGGAAAAAGAATGGTTCAGGAATGAGATGGAATATTAGCACCCAAAAGACAGTATCATCTCTTTTGAAGAGGCGGCCTTTGCCCCATATGGCTGAGTGATAGGAAATTCTTATGACGAGAAAGCCTCTTTTAAAATCATCATAAGAAATCCTACCGCCGTACTGTATTGAACTTGGCTAGGGACAGCTTACTGGTCGTCAGATAATAGACCTCACAATGGCTCAGTGGCCAATTTTAGGCCCTATTACTGAAATGAAGCCCTATTCAGTTTTATATAGGCCATCTGTAACTCTACTCAAAACTCTATAAGATGGAGTGGAGTTGAGAGTATTCATCCCTCTCTCGTCTTTCTATGGCAGAGACGACCCCGAGCTGAAAGGGATTTCTGAGGAGAGAGATGGAGCCAGAGAAAACTGAGAAAACTGAGTTCTAAATCTATAATCTAGACAGACACATGTAGGACAAGAAAAATAATTGACCAAGCGAAGACTGGCCTCTATGTCTGATCAATGAGCATTGCTGTCAGTTTCTCACTTTGAAGAAAAATGGTTGATTCTCCTATACCCATTTCAGACAGAATACGTGGTATATTACCTGTAAAAATACAAGGCAATGTTTATATGAGCCCCTTTCAAACAGTCCCTTATTTTCTACTTTCTTGCAGGTATACCCCTTTTATACATATCAGTGGGTAACTGGCAAATTGGGAAGGGTGGGGGCAGGGGGTGTTGTTAAACCATGGGGGCTGTTTGCATTTCAAATTAGGGAGGCGTTAAACAATGATAGTGTTAATGAATTTACCTGCAAACAAGCAGAGAACCATTCACACAGACCTGATACCTGTATTTTGGTTACTGGGTCTGTGAAAATGCAGGAATCATGACTAGGTCTTTAGGTGGGGATTCAATGTTTTTTTACCACCTATGCCTTTCAGATATACGACAAAGCAGGCAAAATGAAGCAGACATGGTCAATTAGTGGGATTTCAGTCTGTGTATAAAATGGATACTAGTATGGCGCATACCTGTGATAAGGCATTACTTCAGGTGTGCAAAAGTTTTTATTCCAGGAAGTTCTCACTTGAACAGGAGAAATATCTGTAATAACATCACATGTATTACATTGTGAAAGTCATCCTACAATGTGATGGGTCATGAGTAGTTGCTGTTCCAGACTGGTTCCACTTTTGCATTGAATTGTGACATAATAACATAACAAGAACCACAAACAATATGCTTTACACAAGCCAGGGCATGTGGGATAGTAGAGTCCTCCAGGCTACAGCAGGTGTTTCCAGCAGCCTTGGGCTCCTGGGGCCCACCTAACCCACTACACAGTCATACACATACGTCCCAGGAGCCAGCTCTTAGAGAGGACAGGACAGCTCAACAACACTCTCGTTCACTGAGGTAACAGCCACAGTCTCTGCTCTTAGTACAAGGTAAGAATTGTACAGAATTAGTACAAAGTTAAACGGGACAGTCAGTGCCATGTGTCAGACAGAGTTTGAGTTCGGGAGCCTGTCTGCTGTGTCTGTGTGAGAAAAGAGTACAAGAGACAAAATGAAGCTGAGTCAACAGTGATTCAGTTTTGACATTTGAGGCATTCAGCAGACGCTCTTATCTAGAGCGACTTCCAGTAGGAAGTGCATACATTTTGGTACTTTTTCATACTGGTCCCCCGTGGGAATCAAACCCACAACCCTGCAAGCGCCATGCTCAACCAACTGAGCCACACAGGAGGACTAGACAGTAGGTGTAATTAGAGCACAGATTATACTGCTTTTTACGGGGTAAATATTATCTCTATATTACTCGCAATGATAATATGCAGGGGTCACACATGCGCACGCAAGCACCCACACACACACACACACACACTTTGCATTCCTTCCTTTATGTGCAGGAATTCTAGTGACCTCACAGTGTTTGACATTCCTTCCTTTTATAGGCATGTTCTTTGTTAATTAGGGTTAATTAGCTTGGCGTTACAGTTTGGTGACACTTGGCTAGAAGTGGCAGAAGAGTTTCCATGTGAGCTGTGGTCCAGACTGGGGATCAGTGGGGTGTCGTGGCTAGCAGACAGATGCTATAGGGTTTGATGGATGACTGACCATTACTCACACACTGCCACTCACTGGCACAACTCCCAGTGCTTGCCAGGAGCAGGTAGGGAGTGATGGACAAAGCCAATGAGATGTGAGAGAAGGGAGGGTAGTTACTGAGGGAACTACTGAGCCAAACTGGGATTATTTAATTTAATTTGGATCCCCATTAGCTGACGTCATGATGACAGCTAGTCTTCCTGGGGTCCGACAAGAGATAGTAACGGTTCTTCACACAGACCACTAATGTTACCCTATCTATAAAAGCAGTGTCTAAAAAGGAGGAGAGGAGGAAAGGAGAAAATGAAGAAACCAAGGTGTTTAATAACACTGAGTAGACACACAATGATGCAGTATAGGCCATGTCAAGTTCTGTAAGATCCCTCAGCTGGGTTTAAGCAATGTACACACAGCATACGCTTTCTGTCTGCCATCGCTTTTTCCATACGCTGTCAAAAACCGCCTCAATAATCTAAGCTCACAGAGGCGAGTGAAAGTGAATATATCTTTGCTTCAAATGTGTCAGGCAGAAATTAGGCATGTGTAAGAATAACAAGGCATATCAAAGTTATGAAGTAATGTTGGAAATGTCCCATTGTCCCAGTCTGACGCAGAGAAACTCGTCCATTTATTTTGTCTCCTCAAGGCTGGACTACTGCAATGCACTCTTCATCGGGATCCCTGGCAGGAGTCTCCAGAAGCTCCAGTACATTCAGATCAGCGCTGCCCGGATCCTGATGAAAGTGATTAAACATCAACAAATCACTCCCATCCTGGCTTCCCATCTCAATCAGAATCGAATTCAAAACCCTCCTGCTGACATTCCAGTGCATCCATGGCAATGCCCCTCCATACCTCAAATAACTGCTCATATCTCATATCTCAACCCGCAACCTCCTATCAAGCGATAGCCTGTTCCTCCACGTCCCCAGGACCAAGCTTTGTTCCATGGGGAATCAGGCTTTCTGCTCGACCACCCCCCGCCTCTGGAATGCACTCCCGGACAACCTGAAAGCAACCAGACAACCTGAAGGCACCACAGACTCTAGGCTCCTTTAAAATGTCCTAAAAACCCTCCTCTTTAGGAAGGCCTTCCGCTAGATACAGCTGTGTTCTTTGCTGTCCTTGCCTCTTTTGTAGCATCAGCGGTGTCATTTGTGTCAGTCGCCCTGTCTAGTTGCTTCCTTTTTCTGTCTACCTCTCTTGTTTTTATTTATTTTAATGCACTTGCTGTGGCACATTGAGATTGTTTTTCAATGAAAAGCATTTTATAAATTCAATGTATTATTATTATTATGTGTGAAAGGACTGTATAGAGGAGGTGTGTGTGTGAGGAGCAGTTGGAGGCATAATGTACTCTGTCGGTGAAAACATTCCCTGTATTACTACAACACCGCCACCGTACCGTTGACACCAGGCAGGATGGGGCAATGGACTCATGTTGCTTACGCCAAATCCTGACTCTGCCATCAGCAGGACGCTACAGGAACCGGGATTCGTCAGACCAGGTGATGTTTTTCCTCTGTTTTTAGCTGATAGGAGTGGTCGTCTGCTGCAATAGCCCATCCGTGACAAGGACCGACGAGTTGTGACAAGGACCGACGAGTTGTGCGTTCCGAGATGCTGTTCTGCACACCACTGTTGTACTGCACCGTTATTTGCCTGTTTGTGGCCGCCTGTTAGCTTGCATGGTTCTTGCCATT